CAGATTTCGCTTTCAGTCTGACTTCTCTTAAACATGCCGAGTCAAATCCTTACCCTGTTCAGCGCTGAACTGGCAAGCAATTCCAGCTGCAGTGTTGAACCGATTCCCCACTGAGAATCTCTGCATTATTCTGTCGTCTTCTGTCTTATGTGGACGACCAGCCTTTTTGGGGGACTTGAATGAATTAGTGTCATTGTAAAGCCGCAATATTCTATACTGCCTCCTGTCGCAGTGATTCAGTCACCTTAGAGTGAACCGCCATCTTGCAATCTCAGTGAAAACTGGAGGAATGCTGCCAATTAAAGGGTTTTAAGGGTTTTAAGGTTAAGGTGAATTACTGAAATAAATGAACTTTTCCACGACATTCTAATTTATTGAGATGCACCTGTATATATATACAGAGAAAATAATAGTTACATTTATAAAAAATGACCCATTCAAAAGTTTACATATATACGCTTGATTCTCTCTCTTTTTTTTCTTTCCAACAATGACTGTATGACTTTGAAAAGTTTACCCTGGCTCTTAATGCATCGTTTTTCCTTCTGGAGCATCAGTGAGCGTTTGAACCTTCTGTAATAGTTGTGTATGAGTCCCTCAGTTGTCCTCAGTGTGAAAAGATGGATCTCAAAATCATACAGTCATTGTTGGAAAGGGTACAAAAACACAAAAGATGCTGGAAAACCAAAGAATTTGTGGGACCTGAAGGATTTTTCTGAAGAACAGCAACCGTTCAGGGCAAACAAGGGACTCATAAACAACTATCACAAAAAAAACAAAAAAAAAAACCCCGCTGTGGATCATCCAGGTAACAACAGTATTAAGAATCAAGCAAACTTTTGAACGGGGTCATTTTTATAAATTCAACTGTTATTTTCTCTTGTGGACTATATGTAAACGTCTTTTATTTGAAATATCTTATTCAGGTCAGTTCTAAGGGCCGGTCAGATCCCCCTTATTTCGGTAAAATAATTTACATTTTACAGATACTGCAAAGTGTATGTAAAATTTTGACCACAACTGTATGTATGTATATGTGTGTGTGTGCGTGTATGCACAAAATGTATATCTATTATATGTATTTTATGATATTATATATGTTTATTTTTGATTATTTTGTTATTTTTTAAATATAAATGTAAATGAAGTTGAAATTATTCTTATGTTGAAGTTGAAATTAAATTATTATTATGGATCACTGTACAGAAGTATATCCTGACGCTTAACCTCAGAGCTTATGTAGTTGTACCAATAAAACATTCATAAGTTTACACTAAAAATCTATTTCGTCATGGAAATTTTGGAATTTTAAATGTCAGAATCCTTCAGGTGAGCTCTATAATGCAGCAGATACGAGGCCTGAATGAGAAGTAGTAATAGATGCTGATGGATGGATGGATCTTTCATGTAATTTCTACATTCTTTGAAACTTTAATGGTCTCTGTACAGCAGTCATGGGGTAGCCTGTAATTCTATAGCATGTGTGTGTTTGTGTGTGTGTTCACGCAACAAGTCCTTCTTTAATGGATCCACTACTAATGGAGCATGAAGGCAGCAGAGAAAGCCAAAAAAAAATCAATTTCCCACAGCTGTAATTATGGTACTCTCTTGGTTAATTACTCTGGTCTTGCCATTACAAAGTGCTACTAATGTGTCGTCGAAGAGCTCAAGCTGTAGCATTTACCAAAAAACACCATTGCACTGAAAAAACGAAATACACGACCCCAGCTGTCAGGAGAATTGGGTTTATTTGCTACAGAAACAACGACTACCATCATATTCAGGTTTACAACCTAAGAAAGGCTGAAAGCCCATGAGATACACAGCCACATCTGGTACTCGGCAGAACAGACAGGCTCAAATATTCCTCCTAAACCACAGTGACAGACACAATCCAAAGATTACATTTTTTTCTTTCCCTTTTCACCGATCCCTCATCCGTCCTCAACTTTCTTTGACACAGCACACACCGCAGAGAGGAACATTTCTTTACATGTAGCAAGTCTGACTATTGTGTTATATTGTGTGATACAAGATTTTGACACGAGACAAAAAAAAAACTGTGCAATGCAAATTCAACAGTGAAGTCGAAACAACATGACGTGGCTTGTTGCATGCTGTGAGCGGATATACTGTATGTGTGTGCACATCCACACAATGTGAGAATGTGTGTGTGTGTGTGTGGGATGCTTCTCACCGTCCACGCATGCTGGTCGGGCCCGTGTGGTGCCAGCGATCTGTCCTCTCCGGCAGGCACAGCGGGCTGTCTGCCTGGCGATAGTGCGCTTGGGACACACACACACACACACACACACACACACACACACATTTCAGAAAGCATGACATTAAAAATAAAGATATCAGTAGTAAAATCTTGTTATATAAACTTCAACATGAAGGTTTATTATCCCTTAAAATGAGCCCATCTTTGAGTGCATTGTTATGTACCAGTCTGAGAGTCATTGCCAAAGCAATCATGGAGGGAAATAAACATGGATGGCTTTCGGTGAAATTGAACATTTAAAGGAACAGTTCACACGAAAATGAACACTGCCATTGTTTACTCAACCTCATGTCATTCCATACCTGTGTAAATTTCTTTTTTGTGTGGAACTCAAAGGTAATTTTTAAATCAATACAATGAAAGTGAATGACGTGTGGCAGTCAAGCTCCAAAATGGCTCCACAAAATTGGTTCATTTGATGTGTGCGCTATAAAATTGATTCATTTGACTCGACAACTATGTTCAGAGAGTCCTCTGAAACCATACAATAGATTTTCATGAGGAATATTTTATGAATGAGTCTTTGAGTTCTATGAGTTTACAAAACATGGACAAATTATTCCTTTATGAATCGGACTGACTCACTGATTCAGTTTCAGATGTTTCCCCTAGTTTTACACTGAAAAACAACGTCAATTGTGACTGTTCATTACACAAAACTATCATGCATCAGAAGGCCACTTTTGGACCACTTTTATGGTGCTTTTTTGGGTCCTTTTTGATGTTTGAAAGCCCCAATCATCATTCATTGTAATTTCATGGAAAAGAACAATCTGTACAATCAAGAATAACACAGAAATCATATGAATTGGAAACAACATTTTGATTTTTTTGGGTGAAATATTCTTTTAAAATAGATATCTAGTCCAACAGCTCTGAATACCAGCATAAAATTTCATTTTCTTATTGCCTGTACTATGAAAATCATGTAACATTCATACAGTACATACAATGAAAGTGAATGAGAACTGGACTGTCATGCTCCAAAATGACACCACAAAAGTGGTTCAATTGACTCGTACACTAAAAAGATTAATAAAGAAGTGCACTATGAAGAAGTCAACAACTATTTTCCAAGTCTTCTAAAGCCATACAATAAATTTGCATGAGAACTTCTGTGAATGAGTCATTCTTCTGAGTTCCTGTAAATGAATTGTTTGATCAAGCTCACAAATGATTCTGATGGTCTGAATGATCCATTCATGAATCAGACTAATTTGGATCTCTAGTTTAACACGGTGGCTGCGTCCGAAAGCTGAAAAATGCTTCAATACATCTGAAATGAACCAAAATAGGCAAGCTAGCATTGAGTATCATGGAAAGGTTCAACCAATTTTCACATTTTGATTCCTCAACATGTCTTTAGAAGAAGACAGATACCTCAGATAATTTTAAGGTGTCACTTAAATGGTAGCTTTTCACTTCTCTAAAGGTGTTCATTGTTGCTCAAGCCTTTTATAAAGCAAAATCTCTTTCTCTTCCGTCTATCGAGACCATTTCCCCTCAATGGTTTCTCTGACAGGCATAAATTCTTGGCTGAGTATTTTTGACACTTTTAGTGTGCTGGCAAAGCTTACAACTTCTATTCAAGTGACCACAATGACCAGCAAGCTTTGTAGAAAAAGAACAAAAAGTGCAAAAAGTCTGGCTAGACATTAGCTGACTCATACATAATCATAATTCATGTCAGAGAGAAAAGTCTTCCTTGTTCCTTCACTTCCTGTCTTTGCTCTTTCTTTGTGTTTGATCAAAAAAGAAAAGTGGCCGGGTACATCTCTATGAATCCGCCTGTTTAAAATGGCAATAAAAGCAGATTTACAATATTAATTAATCTTGTGTGATACCGTTGAAGGGCCAACAGAGACGTGATGAAAGGGGATTTTTATATGTGTAATAGAACTTGGGAACAGTGATGAATCACCACCGACTCCTGCTTTAAGATTCCCTTTCACAGGAAGCTCATCTCAAGGGCACAATAATTCACTCTGATCAGACTGAACAGAGAGTCAATCAGATCTCACCGTCAAAAAATACCCTAAAAAAGCAAAAAGCCTAACTATTGTCTCCAAAATGCAAGACAACAAATAATGCAAACTGCAACTTGAATCAATGCTCGTTGGAAAACAGTCTAAAAAGAGTTTATTCATGCACCATATTCTCCGTTCGTCAATGCGTCAGCCTTTATTCCAGCTTTAAGCTGCTGCTTATTGCAGAGCTGAACAGCTTATTGCTATTCATCATATTTTACACTCCCCTTACCCCAACATACAAAAAACAGCACATCCACCCTCCCGTTGCATTAGCACTTGACCCACTGAAATGCAAAGACAGCAGTGTGGCGCTGATGACCGCTACTGCTTGGTCAACAGTCGGCACAGGCTGAGCTGATTAAGACAGACGTGTCGAACACAAAGCTCGGACTCCCAACAGGACGCCCAAATGCTTTCACAGTCCAGTGGCCTGTAGAATTACTATTTCAAAACAGCAGCCAAACTCAGGAAGACACCTGCCTGTCAGGAAGAAACCAGAGGAGTTGAATACGATGTTCAATGGACAGACAGTCAGTCCCATATCAACAGTAAAACAACTTGATTTAAAAAAAAAAAACACCTATAAATATATCTATATTTGTAGATTTCCTAAAGGACTCCGAATTAATACTGCATTAATGAACTAATGTTCAGCCCATCCTCACTTCAAAATCTCACTTGGCATGTACAAAAAACTTTCCTCTTTCAACAACACAATATCAAACATTACACACCAAGAGCAAAACTTACACGCAATTTCAGGCCGCACGTGTCAGATGCAGAGTCTACTGAAATTGTTTTAACCTTGACGCCGATGGGGGCATCTTGTTGAGTGGAGATGAGAAATCCCAGCAGACATCATTATTGTAAAGACTATGGAGAACGCTTAAGGTCACCTCTCTCTGTCTCACTCCCTCTTTCGCTCTGATCAGCCTCCTCCAAAATAGAGTCACAACCTCTTTCCATAACGGCCCACATTAATCCTCCACAGCTCAGAATTTAGATAAGAGAATTAACCCCTCCTTCAGTCCTCTGATGCATCTCTGTTTGCCCCTCTTTTATTCTGTTTTATTTCATACTGAGATCTTTCTTCAACTACAGCACTTATGGCTGTCTTGGAAAATAAATTCATACTTTACACACTCACACTAGTTAATTTGATTTGTCTGCTAACAGTAAATATACATGCATCACAGAAGAATAATGGCATCTGTTATTTCTGAAAGCTATATATATATATATACATACATACATATACACACACACACACACACTTTGATTTAGATATATATTTATATATGTTACAAGATTAAGATTGAAAATCTGGTCTGGGACAAATATATATAAAAAATGGTTTTTAATGCAAAAATAAAATGGTGAAAGCATGTTAAACACTTTTCACGAGAGTGTGACCTTCACATAACAAATAGAAATAAAACAAATAAAATAAAATTACATTAACAATGTGTGTATAGTGTGTAAATTGTTTGTTTATACGAGTCTTTAGGTTTTAGATTAGGTTTAGATTATCATCATTTTAAAAATGTATAATTTATATTTATATATGTTTTATATATACGTTTAAAATCTTGGTTTGGGATAAACATAAAACAATTATACATAAAAGTGTTTTGAGCAAAAATAAAATGGGTAAGGCATGTTAAACACTTTCCAAAAGTGTGCAGCCTTCATATAATAAACTGAATAAATAAATACATTTTAATATATTTTAATTAGTTTTAATAAAAACCCCTGGGACATAAAAGTGCCCTTAATTAAAGAAACGCCCGCAAATGGCACACACACCCACAGGAACAGCTGTGTGCTGCTGGCCAGGGACATCAATGGCATGAAATACCAGCGTTCTGTTCATGTTTAACAGCCAGAGGATGAATGGGGATGGATGGAGATAAGCCTCGGAAAACAGGATGGAAAGAGAGAGACAAAGAGATAGAGTCAAGGGTTTGATGTGCCAAAAGCTTGACAGCCGTTCCATCACAGGTTGTTAAGTTAATTGATATGACAGGAGGTTTTTCTGCCTCTTTAGTCCAGACACGACAGACCGTATCAAACGTTAAGGATCTACATGCACCTGGGCACAGAGCAGTGCTGAGACACCCTGCTGGAGCAGAGACCGGGTCATTCTGCAGAGACCGGGTCACCAAACTCAGCTCTGCTCATCTGCAGACTCTACTTCCTCTCTCAGAGGAACTAGATTCAGGTCTGCAGTGTCATTTTCAGCTGAAAGATGTAGGTACAACTGCAAGAGAACATGAAGTTTAAAGCTAGTGCGGTTCAAAACACCACCTCCTCTCCAAACGCAGCACCACTGGACAGCTGACAGGAAGATGTCACCTGTTTCGTTCTAGAATTTGCAACAACAGATAAGGGTTAGACAAAACACATTTCACTGCAGATTCTCACTGGGTTTCAATCACTTGAATCAGCGGGAGTGCTAAAAGTTTAACACATGATGGGAGTGAATGGATGAATCTCATGAAACCGGTTAAGAAACTGTCCAGGTTATACTTAAAGTAAAGAAATTTGTATTAAGAAAACCTTTAATTTGATTTTTAGGACCAAAGATATTTTTTGTATTGCAACATTTTAATGATAATTAAGCACATTTTCTATACTAACTGATAGTAACTGATATAACTAATTCTCATTACTGTAATAATAATAATAATAATAATAATAATAATAATGCAAAACTACATAGGATAATGGAATGGATTGTAGTAGTAGTAGTAGTAGTAGTAGGGCTGGGCGATATAGCTAAAAAATTTATCAACGATATAATGTTTCATATCGTTCGGTATCGATAATTATTGACATTTTTTTATAACCTTTTTTTAAAACAAAAAGCAATAGAAATTTTTTTTAAATTTAACCACTGTATACTTTAAAAACCACTGTACATTTTTAAAATTAACACAATTTATTGAGACAAACAACAAATATTTTTTCA